CTATTATGCCAGCTTTTGAAAATTGATGACTAGAGTATTGTCATCCAATATATAAGCGTTACTTTATTGTACGCATGGTATTCATAGTTGCTTGCTTGAAAAAGAAACAATTCGAAAAGCATCGCATTAATAAAACTTTATTCATTTATTAATTTATTTACTCTTTTCCTTGATTGTTATTTCTGTTCTTTGTTTTTCTTGCTATCCGCATATCTCTTTGATACTTAAAAAAAAAATATTTAAAAAAAATCAAAAAACAAATACATTTGTTTTTAGAAAGAATTCATGTTGATTTGCCAAATTCAAAGAATGGACATTATTTATTTTATTGTCTGTGAACAACCAAGAAATATCTGCATGTAAAATGTTTTGATATAAAAAATTTTTGTATTTGAAGTTTTAAAATCTATGATTGAAAGTATAGAATTGAATAGAACACATATGGTTTATATTAAGATAGATTTATTGTTGAATTTAAAATCAATTAAGCAGAATAAATTCTTAGTTCAAAATGAAAAAGTCAAAAGTTTGTAGTGGCAACCATTCTTCTTCGATTACTGGTGCTATTCTGTCGAACGACTACATCATTCAAAGGCATTATAGCTGCTCTGTGTTGTCTGAATACGAGAGAATTAAATTTTCTCAGAACTTCAGGCATTGACATAAAACAAACCATAGGTGAAATGAGTGCTACAATGTAAACAAGAAAATTAAATGTATCTAATTGTGCAAAAAGAAAATTTGGACTATAGATTTCTCCCATCTGAGCTACCGATAATAGAAGCAAAACAGCAAGATACAAAAAAGGAAATCATTCCGAATTGGAAAGACATTTTTCTTTGACGACGTCAATTATTTTCAATACGACCAACAACAATCAGTTTTTGATGAATAACACGTATGACAAGAGCAATATTAAAAATGCAAATAATAACTACTGGAGAGATAATATCAATAAAAAGATTGACTGTACCCCAGTTTGTAAATAAAAAACATGGTAGACCACATAAAAATCTATCAGAACGTGGTGTAGTTACACACATCGGACAAATAACAACGTTAAACATAGTATACGATGGGCTCCAAATAGAACACATTACTAAAGAAACTATATGAAGTAATCATCGTTTATACATTCCAATATTTTGAATAAAATCATTATGAAATATGAATAAATGGCATTCGATAAATATCCAAGCCATGAGAAAACTATGAATCGCATTTAATGAAAATTCATACCATATCCACCACATACAATAAGCTGCTGTAGCAGGTTGAACAATATCATTCAAATAAAAGTAGCGCATCGGCAGTGGAATTTGAGTAACCACTTGAACAAAATTAATTACAAGTGAAAATAGTATCGAATAGCTGTGCTATTTCGAACAAACACGACCATTGAAAAATAAATAAATAAAGATTGCAATTGAGATCAGAATTGAAGGAATTTGAAGTGCAAGTAACACGGTGAACTGAATTAAATTTATCAATGAATCATCCATCGTGTTATATGTGTCGTTCGTCAACATTGTTTATATTACAGAAATTTTATTTTTTCTGAATAGAAAATTCTGAACTAAACTCTTTATGAAGAGTTTTTACTTGAACTATATGTCAACATCGCAGTATACATTTGTCTCCGGACATATTTTTATTTTAGTTAAAAGTTATTTTTATCGTCATACTGACCCAATGAAAAGTTTGTTTGATTGAAAATTGTTTTAATCTCAAAATTAGATGGTCGTAATCGAAATCTTAAATAAAATTATTCTACAACAAAATTAAAGCTAAACTTGATTAAAATTAGACTTTTCGAACATTATACTCGACTAGAAATTAATTGTAATCAGATTTCAATTTGCGGAAAAAAACTGATTTTAATCGGTATAAACCTTGGTTTTGCTATAGAACAATCAACAGCAAAACATTAACTTTCATACACCTTGATTTAAGTTGTCATGTGCATATCTTTTATTCTAACTTTGATGAAATGTCATGAGGATAAGTTGGAAAGTAACAGAATGTTCATAAATGAAATAAAACTTTTGAGAGGAATCTTTCTTTATTAAATACAATCTATTGGTTCTAGACTAAGGCTAGAATGAATACTATCGTTAAGTCTTCGTTCCCGAGTTATAACAGTTTTAATAACGTTTCGAGCTATAGTATTAAGATACACTATAAACAAACGAAAGTTTGAGTTTTCATCTGGAATTTGGCACTCAAAAAAACCTCTTTTAAATCATGCTTTCATCTCGTATGTGAAGCTCTTGATAAAAACAGAAGGCTATTTGTAGAGAATCTTGTCAATCGGGATGAAAATATATGATTCAATTGAGATCTATAGCGCATCGTATCAACTCTGGAATCCTTATGAGTAGAAAATTTCAGATTCGAATTTGAACATTAGATTTTTTACGGTGAATCTCAAAATTGATAAAAAGAAATAGTAAAATAGTAATAGCTCAGAAGCAGATACACCAAGACAAGATCCATTCAAGCTACGGTCTGATCTCAATAAATCCTATCTGATGAAGAAGAGCTTACTTGAAAAATTTCTGATCCTGCGGAACGGTTACTTGTCAATGAAACTCCATAAAATATAGATTGTAAGCTTATCAAAGCACAACCAGAAGAAAGAATATTATTTAAGTATCTGATATCGACGATGCTCCTAGCCACTTAGTCTTTTCGAGAAACGTCCCTGCAGGTTTCCTTTATCTAAAAATGTGAAAAATAAAGAAACTAACAACATTAGAAGCGACAATCTTAACATCAAAACACAGCAGATGGAGCCATAACTATGAAAAAGTGCCACACTGTCGTTTAACAGGGATAACCATATCACCCCGGAGCGGTTTTCAAGGGAATGTGTTCGGTCAAAAAAAATTGTATATTCGTGATCAGCATGATCGATTACCCCTATCCCCGTTGAGATCCGAAGAGGGTACCTCTGACCATAAGCAAAAAAAAGCGGACAAAAGGGTGGGGGGGGGGGGGGGGTGGGTGTAGATGGGGGTGGGGTGGGGTGTGGCTGTGGGTGTGGGTGTGGGTGTGGGTGTGGTTGGTGTGGGTGTGGGTGTGTGGGTGGAGTCTGATTGAAGAAATACATAACACCCACACCCACACCCACACCCACACATTCACACCCACACACCCACACCCACACCCACACCCACACCCTACCCACACCCACATCCACACCCACATCCACGCCCACACCCACACCCATTTTGTATTAATTTTAACACGATCATACAATACTAATCATAATGTCAGTTATATAATAATGAACAAGCGTTATTTTATTTATCAATGTCAAAAAGTTGAACTGATTATTGCTACTACTTTAAACCGAAGATGTCCACAACGGCTGAAAACCTGGCGCTCGCTCGATCCTATTCAAAAACAACCGTCGACTTTAACTTCTATGACTGTGTTAAAGTGGAATTCTTGTTACTCATTCAATCAGGTTCATTCCATTCCTCAGTGTGTAACTTGTACACATTAGCATATTGTCCAACTTCATGCAGTTTTCCAATGTCCTTCAAAAACTATCTTCGCCCTGACGGCATTGTTAAAACATTTGTCACACTACGATAGACATCTCTATTATAAACGATCTAGTTTGGACACTGCTGTATTTGAATGACACATATCCGCTTTTGACTCATTCACTAGCACTCAACGCTTTATTTAGATAAATAGTATCATCCCACAAAGCAAATAATTTCATTCATTTTAAAAGTCTATTCAGATCAACGACACGCACGAGTTATCAATCATTTGCCTTTGTGACACTTCTGAAGTACGTAAATCTTTCTAGTGTATAACATAACAATTACGTCTACTTCTACAACTTACTGTATAAATTATATCGTAGAATATTATATACAACATTAACACTTATTAAAAAAGTGGATTTATGAATGTCATTAATAGGCCGTAGAATAATTTCTGACTATGGAATTATTAAAATCTATTGAAATATATGTCAAAATTCGCTCGTATTTTACGGTTTTCGTTCTTCATGCACACATTTTCGTGAAAATAATAGCAGATTCATGATCTTCACGAAGAAGTGATGCAATCGATATGTTATCTATGTATTTTTGACGCAAAAAAAAGAACATTTTTTCGGATAAAATCCGAGCACTAACCAGACAAAAAATTTATCCATCCGAGAAGTTTTCCGAAAGAATATTTTTTGCATCAAAAATATACAAATGACATGTTCATTGAATCAGTTCTTCGTGAAGATATGAATCTGCTATTATTTTCACGAAAAAGTCTACATGAAGAAAAAAAATCATAAAACACAAGCGAATTTTGACATATAGTTCAATACATTTTGATAACTCCATAGTCAAGAATAATTGTACGACCTATTAATGACACTCATAGATCCAGTTTTTAATGAGGATTAATGTTGTATATATTCTATGACATCATATATACTGTAAATTGTAGAGGTGGACGTAATTGTTATGTTACACGCTGTACAAGGAAAATAGACGAATGTCGGATGTTAACGAGTCTAAAATGAAGTTAATTTAGCAGATGTGGACAAAATTTTTTGATCTTGAAGACGAAGGAGTAGTTTCTTTCGTGAAATTTCAATAGGAAGGATCTGTTTTTATTGCTTAGTAAACAATTGTTACACTGTTTCGTTTATTTTACGTTATCATACCAATTAAGAACAATTGGTGAAAATTTTTGTGTTGATCTGATATGGCATTTGTTTGACCAATGAATTCTTGAATATAACTGAGAGAGTTTCAAGAGTAGGTACATGTTCAATAATATGCGCAATAAAACAACCATAGTTAAGATGAACATGTAATTGACGAAGTGTCAAACAATTAGTAACAAGTTAATTATTAATTAAATTTGAATAAACATGACAAGATGATGAAAAACATTGATGCATTGCAAAAAGATAATTGTCGTCAGCAATATCAAGTCGAAGAGAAGTTAATTGACACTTAGAAGAAAATAGTTCATGCATAAACTGTTTGAACATAAATACCAGTTTCGATTCTATATAATAAAAACAAAAACAAAGAAGAGATATTTATTATTAATTATTTTAATAAAAAGATATGAACTTCATTCGTTCTCAATGTTTGATTTCTTAGAAATTTCTATGTAAAAAGTATGAGAATTTTTTCTTTTACGAGAAATATAAAATTTACCTTGATTAAGATCATCAGTCAAACTTTTCAAACATATCTTTATCAAATGTCAATATTAGTTCATCCAATTGATTTTGAACAAGTAAAGATAAATTATTAATTAATATTTCGGATAAACAACATCGAGTAAGAATAAATGTTTTAAGATTAACAAAACGAATAATTTTTTCTTGAAAAATCCATTTAGATATCAAATTAAAAAAAATTGATTTTGCTCCATCAATATGAGTTCGTTGTAAAGAAGCAGAAAGAGTTGAATTAGAAATTATTGGTAATAATATTGATTGATATTTATTCAAAGATGGGCCTGTTTCACCAATAAGAATTCCACTTTTATTCCCATTATAATTCGTTGAAAATTTTAAACAAATAAGAGAATTAAGCCGTTTATTTAATGATCAAAACGATTCTATTATTTCAAACCATGTTAAATTTGATAATATAATAAGAAGAATTTCATTTGCCAAACTTTCTAGTGTATTTATCATCTTGTCTAATTAAGGGTGTGGGTGGGTGTGGGTGTGGGTGTGGGTGTGGGTGTGGGGTGTGGATATGGGGTGTGGGTATGGGGTGTAGGTGTGGGGTGTAGGTGTGAGTATTTCTTCTCCTTATTGACACCGACACCAACGTCCGCATCCATACCCCACATCCGCACCCATGTCCACACCCACACCACACCCTACACCCACACCCCACACCCACAGACCGACCCACACCTACACCGACACCGACACCCACACCCCACACCCACAGCCACACGACAATATAAATTTTTTCACTTACAATTAATCACAACGACAAGGTGAAATAGGCGCTATTCGATGTATTCATGTAATCCAAAGTCTAATAAATTGTCAATGGATTAACAGAATCTACAGAATCTACAGAATAGTCTCTTTCTAAAAGTTTTTTCGTGTTTGTTAACTATGAAGTTGTCACTAAGCTAAAGTCCGACAAATAAAATACACTTGAAACTGCTATTTAAATTGTTTCGGCTGAGATGGTGCAATTACTTCTTTAATCGATTAAAATCGATTAATCTAGAAAAATATAGCAAAAGTCTGATTGAAATCGATTTTCGAAAAAAAAGTAAAAATCGATAAAACTGGTTTTGTTGAAGGAATCGAAATAATCAATCAAAAATCTAATTGTTTGAAATTGATGATTCCTAAAATCGATTAATTGGATTTATTTTTAAAAAAATCAATTTTAATCGATTTTTTACGATTATTTTTCAAAAAATCGGTTTTAATCAGATTTTTCGCCTTTTCTTTTTTTGGCATGGGTATGATACATGAATTTTCATAATATAAAATTGTCATCAATTCGTATAACACAAGTTATTATCCGTCGTTAGAAAATAAAAATTCTTTAAATCACGATTGATTAAATTATTATAAATGAGGGTGTGTGTGTGTGTGAGTTATGGATGTATATGAGAGTGAGTGTAGGTGGGGTATGAGTGTTTCTGTGTGAATTTGGGTGTGATTGAAATAGGTACTCCTAGGCGTTGGTCTGAGTGTTCGTAGACGAGGTACACTAATGCACACACCACACACGACAAATCCATCTCCCATACACACTCGAGCAAGCAACAAATTTATCAATTTTTAAAAAATCAAATGAACGAGAGGAAATAGTATCTATTCAGTAACGCGATAATATGTTAGTCCCATGCCCACATACTAAAGAAACTTGCTAGAATATTATCCATCCTGTAGTGTAATTTTATCTAAAGATAAAAGCAATTGAATCAGGTGAGTTTGTATTTAAATAAAACAAGAGAGTAGAATTGTCTTTATTTACTTTACGTTCCTGCTAGATAAGGAGCAAGAAGATTCTTTAACATATTTCAGTTTGTAAATGACACATAATTCGTAATGGGCTGTCGTGGCAATTACAATAGATACGGAGTTATACTGCTGCTATACTTAATTATAGCTATTTGTTACGTGGCCATTCCAACATGTAATTCATTATCTACAAACTTAGAAAGCATTATAAGAGCGTATGCAGGTATGCAAGTGTTATTAGTCGCTTTGTGTTGGTATAAATGAAAATATCTTTTCGGAACTAAAGAAATTCGTACAAATACTTATTCTTGGATAGAGACGACGAAAAGTCAAATTACTGGGTACATTCGTTTTTGTGAAAGTCACACTTCCATAATGTATTTTACTAATTCAACTTCCTTCATTATTACAGGCAAACACTGAAAACAGAACGAAAAACATCTGTTGAATTTGAAAGACGCTCCATACATAAGTTATAATCCCATGTCTTGTATTGAAAACGGTTTTGCTTGGTTCAAATTTTAGCTTTTACATTCGTAGTAATGATTGTTTGGTTTGCCCTGTTTATTACTATACACGTAAAAGTATTCGGAAACTGAAGCACTTTTGACTCAATGATTGGTTGTACGATACAAGCAAGAGACGCAGCATGCGTGATGGTGATTGTCACATATGTGGTGTCACTTACTACGATACCAGTTCTGTGCTTGTACTACAGAAAAGGTCCGGTCGAAAACGAAGTATTCGATGATATGGTAGCGTCCGTGCCACAAACTGATTTCGTGGAACAATATAGGTTTTGATCGATAAAATGCTAACGTCTGCACGGTTTCTCTTATTCATCCGTAGTGTTTGCTATCAGTGCCTATAGGTAAGAACACGGTGTGAGTATGGGCGGGGATGGACGTGGGTGTTGGACGTGGGATGTCGGTGTGAGCTGTGGGTGCTGGTCCCGCACCCACACCCACGATTAGTAAACAAGGTTATCATTGAAAATAAGGGATCAAAACTGCTGACATCTTTTTTATTGATGATAATTATATATATTATTCAAATTCAAATTGAAAATAAAATGTTTCCAGAATATGATAACTTCCTTTCCTATTTCTATCCATTATGGTTTATGTTTCGATTGAGTAGTTATTGAATTGTATAGAAATATTGTCTGATGCGATTGTATATTGACGATAAAAACAAATAGTTTGATTAGACAAAGTTGATGAAGTTTTATATTTGATAGATATGGCTTTATTATTTTCTTCTTTTGTCGTGCCATCAAATGCATCAAAAAAATTTGATCTGAATTGTTGACACAAGTGTCGTTCATCATTATGATCAACAGAGTCAACAAAGTATCATACTGTGAAATTTATTTCATTTATTAGAGAAATAATAAGATTTCGTGTTCTATGTTTTACTTTTTCTACTTCTTTTTTAATGCTGCATCTATAAAAAATATTTTTGCCTCTTCTCATACGCATATTTAAGAATGAAAAGAAAAAAAAACAATCTAGCAATGCAGAATTATATGTTATCAAATTATCTTGCGAGAACAAAATAAATATTTTATTTTCATATGAGAACAAAACATATTTGTCAAGAACGTAAAATAAATTCATCTTATATTCTTTAATAAAAACCTTTGATTATTAACACAAGTTTCTCATTCTTTATCCACCATGGTATGCAGTCGACTACAGTTCTTTATTTTTCTCTTTTATTTTTTCTTACCTTGTCAAACTCTTCGATGTACTACTAATTGTTCTTTTACATACAATCTTACACAACTATTTGATATTCCTAATCAATGTGGTCAAATTGTATCAGCTGGCAAATGTATTGCATCTGTTAAGTTTTCATATCAAACTCAGAAATACACCGTTCAGATTGATGCTGATCCATCAACTTATATCTACCGTGCTGAAACTCGACGTTTTGCTTATATAATCTTATCACCGATAATACCAATTTTCTTTTACTATGACATTCATTATTCGTGTCAAAATACAGATGATTGTGCTCGAGATTTGATAAGAAATGCAGCTATCGAAATTTTACAACGACAATTTCAAATAGGAGCAATTGAAAATGAACTTGCACCTTTAATTTCAAGTCCACCTTCAATATCGAAAAATCTTACACTCAATTGTTATGATTCAAAAGAAAATATACTTCAATGTAATACATCAAGAAAGCCAGGTTTTTGCCTTATACAGCATAAAATTGAAACAAATTCAATAAATCATTCATGTACTCATGAAAAGTCGCATATCTCAGTATATATTATGACATATCTTTTGATTAATGATTCTACATTTGATGTCGCGTGTAATCGATCATTATGTAATAACAATTCAACACTGCGAGATGTCAAAGAACTTATGTTTAAACACAATGTTACAGTAACATTAAGTGGACGATTAATGGATAATGAAAAGATTGAAATTATTGGGAATAATGGATCAAAATGGATTGAATCAATTATACTTATAACAATGATGATTGTAGCTCTGGCTTTACATAGCTAATTTTTGAAATGATTCTGTATTATTGATTGACTCAGATATTGTAGCGAAATTATATCTATAATTTGACACATAAAATTTAAAGAAAAAAATCTATCTATAATCTTGTTCTTTTTTTGGTGTACCGACATCCATAGAAGATCAATCGGTTTTCTAAATATTTACGCCAAAGAGAAAAAAGTAAATATTTTTTGGTAACAACGCATTTTTGATAATACCATGAATATTTCTCTTACTTTTTTTGATTATGTTATTAAATTATTAAATTAGTGGTAGCTAGATCTTTTCATTCATTTATTGACTTCTTGATCACACTATCAAAAGTCACGATTATATTTGTAAAATTCATTGGATAATATTTATGAAGAAAATTATAGAAAAAGAACTGTTTGTCATGCTTTTTCTGTTCTCTCATTTATCCTTCTGTTTCATTAACCCTTTGACTGTCACCGACGTATATATACACCCGGAGCCTCATCTTCGCGTGAACTAAAGTAATCATTCATAATTTATGTTTTTTAGACGCATTTGCGTAAAAAACAAGCATTAGGCACTATGTACTTCCCAAAGCACTATTTTATTAAGCCATACTATAGAATCATTCCATAAAAAACGAATAAATTTTCTGAAAAATCGTTTCTTCCTTCTCTTTTGTCGATAGCCAATGGATTAATAACCATCAATAAGAAACTATATGCAAAGAAAGTACAAGAAGACGAGAAAAATGCAATCATAAGTATATTTTAATAAAAGCTTTGATGGTTAATACAATACATCTTTAATCTCACGTCCACACCCACATCAGATAATCCTAGCCTGAAGTATTACAATTTAAAAGAGCCTATAATTCAATGTGGTACATAAGTATATATATATCAAAATTTTAAGAGCACATTTCAGAAAAATCAATTCATTTAAAAGAAATGAATTTTGTATGGTTTGCAATATTATTTTCTTCTTTCTGCTCTACTTGAGATAGTAGATTAAACAAATTGAAATATTTTTGAACTAATATTGAATGATTACCGCTAACTAAAGTAAAGTTATAAATGAAACTGAGAAGTATCTCGCGAGTAAATAGAATAATTCTTATCTTTTTTTGTTATACTATATTGTTCTGCGTGTCATGATTTGTTCTTGCACAACATGTAAGCAACAATAGACCTATTTTCATCTATATAAATAATCTACCTTATTATAATGACAACAAAGAAAATGTTGTTAATTCTCTGTATTCTTCTTGGATATGCATTATGTAGTCAAACAGCAATTCTTCAATGTGATTTTGATGTTGATACTAATTGGGGTTTAACAGATGGTTTTCATCCTCAATCTATTAATCATGATCATACATTAAACAATAGTTCTGGTCATTATCTATTCTATAATCCAAAAAGTTAACCACCATTAATCTAAAATATTTAGAGACAAATCATGAAAGCTGCTGGTTTGAAACGACCTGTTTAGTTTTAGAACCCGATTAGGTACGGTTTTTGAATTCAGCATTATTGTATGAGGTAAGTATGACTTTTATAAGCAAGCGTACTCCTATAGAGAGGTTTTTAATGATATGAACTTCTGATCCATTTCTTTCAGATAGAAAGTAGCGATTTGGCTTTAAATGGCTCGATCACATGCTGAAATTAAGTGTATATCTTCTAGAATTAAATAAATAAAATTCGTAGCAATACGGGTTGCTGCGTGGACAACTTCTGTCTTCAATTCAGTGAATATTTTCTGAAAGGTTTCTGATATTGAGCTGAGAATGATACCATAACTTCTCCACCGTAGTTTCAACCTACTCGAAGAACTCATATGATTTGAATGCGTTTGGGCCAGTTTCAATTTTTGAGCGGAAGTTGCCTTCAATCGAAATCTGCTGTCACCTGAAAGCTTATTGATTGACTAAATCCGTTGATGCGGATTAAAATAAAATCCAGACTTGCTCGCTCGGTTTCTGATATGGCTATATCCATTTATCGCTCTGCTTTCTACAGAGAATGATCAAATAACAAAATGTATTTTGCGTGTCATTCAAGTTTCTCAAAAGTATGATTAGAGAAAAATTTGAGTAATATCATATATTATTACGACGCACTAAACGCTTCACAAGATGAGACATTCGTCTGGTGTTAGAAATGATCTGTTTAAAAATTTATTAATGTTCCGAAGTCTTTTTGTCGCCTAATCTGCAGCACATCCATGATGCTCTATCTCCTTCTCATCTCTTAAGATTGCTGATGTTATACTTGAATCAGTTTTAAGTACCTTCTGTATAAATATAATCTAGTGCATTATTCTTTTCCAAAAATGAAAATAAAAAACATAAGAAAACACACTTTCTGTATAATAAATTGATAAGATCTTTATGACTGCATCGATTCATTTATGACGAAAACAATTTTGCAGTTCGAGGTATTTCATGATCAAGTTTCAATACGAGTAGACAGTTATCAATTTACAAAAGATACCTAACTACCGCTAGAAAGCTAACTTATGAATGGTAAAAGTCTCATGAACAAGAGGTTCCATATTGAGTGAAGCGAAATTCTTAAGGATAACGGAAGTTTTTTCTTCATATACATCGAACGAAGCAACAGCAAACTTGAATCGAGGAAACATGCGAAGTCCAGGAAGTTTTTTAAGTACTTGAGATGTGTTCTTTTTCTCTGTTTAAGAAACGCTCGATTTTAATGAATTCTTCATATCTTGTTTGTTGTATTTATTGTTTAATTCTACCTAAACAAGATGAAATACAAATATTTCACGCTACTCCGAAAAGAACGAAGGGTTTCAAGGAAAATTCATACGATCTAGAGATGTCCAGATTTAAACAGTCACAAAGAAGAACGTGATCAGAAGAGCTAGTACTGTTTTAGGATTTCAACCTTGAGTTCATTGATAAGAACACTTAAAAACTCTTTTTCATTAATCTTGATGCATCATCAGTAGTTGTTGCCGTTTATATAGATGAAATATTAACTTCTGAGATATCAGTAAAATTGCTTGGTGCATCCGAAGTCCATTCGATCTCATGAAGTCTTGAAATATTAGAATTCGAAGTCTCTTAAAATTGTTTTCGATTCTAAAAGCTGAAAGTCATCTGTGTCCTTCTTGCATAGAACCCTATATACATATAACAAGACAAAATGAGAAAGAAGATGTTCATTCCTCACAGTTGACAGCTAGAAACTGTGTATTCAAACAGTGATGATACCGTAGAAAATTTCCAAAAAAAAGCAATCCTTCACACATCCACATGTTCTTGTTACCATGCATTGAAATTTTATAATTTAGTTCTATACTCAGAAATCAAGCATCGAGAAATCGCCATGACAAAGTAACTGGTTACTCTTCATAAATGCTTCGTTAGAATAGGATCATCTGAAGTTATTGTTTCTTATAGAAGTCTATGAAAATAACCGAAAAAAAAAGATATAATTAAACATTTATAATAGAATAAACTAAAAGAAAAGACAGTCAAGTCGTTATGTCATAGAGAGAAGCATCGATGCCATGATACATGTAACTATAGATTAGCCTCATAATGCTGAAAAAATATTTGCGATAGAAAGAGATGTACAGAAAACAAATGAATATTCTTCAGAAATAGTACTATAGTAATATCACAATTAACAATGACTTTCGTATATGCGTTTGAATAATTTTAAAATCAAAAAGGATCTACCATCGCTTTTATGCCAGGCTTGAGCAAGTCATTTTATCGAGTCATCGAAAGAATCCTATGAACTTTTACAGCTAAAATGTTTCAATCTACTTTTAGAAACATTTAATCCAGACTAGTCTGAACTAGACAATGATGTATGGCAATAAATTTTATAAGCTTCACAAGCTCGACTATGCCCCCAAAACATGATGACTCGGACTTCAAATTAGACTCGAGTCAATCATATTTTAAATGGTATGTTTTAGCTTATGAAGCTAATATGATTTATTTCTATGCAGTATTTTGTACTCCAGATTAACGTGGATTGAATGCTACTAAAGCTGGCTTGAAACATGTCAGTCGGGAAAAGTATCGTAAGATTTTTTTAAAATGACTTGACAAAATGGCTTGCCTAACCCTGTTTCATAGACCACTTACTTTCCAAATAGCTTACAGCGCATATGAAAGCAGAGGAATGCATCGAAAAATACAACTTGAAAACAAAGTAGAACTGAAAGTGAAAAAGCAGCCTATTGCAAAAAAACCGCCATAATGTGAGAATTGTAGTTCTGACATACTTATGACATGAGACTTGCTTACTGAAGACAGCAATAATTTCCTTTATTCGCTATTTCATTGTTCAAACTTGAGAAAGGGCCAGTATTTCATAATAGAAAAAAAAAATGAACAAACATTCTTCTGTCTATTTGTTGACTGTTACACACCTCAGTTTGTAAGAAAGAAAAAAAAAATTAACAACACTCTTCTATCTATATGTTGGACGTTACACATTTCAGATTGTAAAGAACAAAAAAAATTCAACCGTCCGCGATGAACATTGATCCAATAATATATATATGTTGTCTCATATTGAATTGTCTATTTTCTTTTTCTCGTTCGGTTAACATACTTCATTGTGAACATTCAAAATAAATATGTGTCGCGTTAAGTCTCCTGAAAGAGTCTTCGATGTAAGTAATATATTTTTTGCTGAGAAATGTGAATCCTGCTCCAATCGGATAATGAGATTTTCAAAACTCCCATACCAAACATGGTTCACACTTCATTTTTTTTCGTTCTCACTCTCTCCAGATACACATGCTATCAACAGGCTTTAAGTTGAGTAAATAAAGGCCTTCATCCGTCTGTATGGTACTCACAGTTGATTAGATAATACTTAAGCATCGCCTCTAAATAAAATTATACTCGTTAATTTTAGATCACGATGGACCATCTTGATCCACCAATGCCTGTTCCACCATCGAATTCTCGTAAGTAATTTAATAACAATGTATATCATGTCTGATTACTTTTCTTTTAGAAGTTGGAATCAAAACAGTAGTACTAGCGACTGCTGCTGGTTTTTTTTGGGATTCATATTTAGCAAGTACAAATCCAAATAATAAAAAATGCTGATCCACGTACCTGAAGTCGTCACAACGAAATTCTAGCTGTACTTATTATTTTCAACATAATGTTATGTCTATCTTTTTTTTATATCAATTATTCTTTTTATCTCAAAATTGAATGTTCTTTTTTTTTCTTTAATGGAATAAATAGTCAATTATATTGTATTTTATTGAATGATTTGAATATTTGTCAAAAATCTTTTAGCAAGTCAAATTAATTTGAACGCAATAAAAGGTGAAGGTCAATTAACATCGATGAACTAGCATTAGAAGATGTTACTAAAGTATCAACCATGGCTTCAAATCCAAAAGCAACATGTGGACGAGTTTTTATTAAAGTAGAAAACAATCAAAAGAAAAAAAAAGTTTCATTTTTTTCTTTTTATTATAAATTCCTTGGACACATTTTAAAAATTTACCAATTCAATTAGTAAGCAAAAAAATAAGATAGTATTCAATATAACATATATTACTTATATAGCTATTAGATGGTGTTAATATTGAAATTAGAACATATGAAAAACTTCGTGATGTACAGAAATCATCAATTGTCAATTCATGTCGGATGAGAATTTCAATGAAAAAGAATCTTCAAGGTTTTTATTTTGAAATTTTTTTTTTTTGTTTGTAAAATTAATAAAATTGAATTTGATTTATTCTCGTAGATAGTTCAATGATAATATCTCGTGTTATGATAGAATTTGATGATTTATTATCTGTGCTTAATGATACACAATTAAAATCAGCATTAAATACTTATAAAGAAATAACTGAATTAATGAAACGAAGTAGGTTAGAGAAATTTATGTGAAATATTTCCAAAAAAAAACATTTTTATGAAATTGTCGAAAACTGAAGATCTAATTTCCTATATGAATATTGAGAATACGTACAAGACAGAATATGATTTTGTAGAATTGAAGTAGAAAGTTCTACATTATTATGGTAGTTAAAATGAAGTCGTAGAAGTACCGTTCATTCTAAGACGCGTTAGATTTATATTCAATATCAGCGACGCAAGGATTTTTTTTTTCTTTATAGAACCATTCTTGCTGAAGAATCACGCAAATAATTGTTAACATCACTAGCAGCTATGTCAAGTAATTGAGCTTTCATGTCAACAGCTACGTTTGATATAATTTACGCTTGGAAATATTATCAATATGAATTGACTATATGTTTCGTTTCAAAATTTTCATTTTTTCAGACATCTTTTGTACAAGTGTCCTTTGAAATAAAAATTGTAATCGTAGAAGTATTCAGTAAACTTTATATTTCGTGACAAATAGAAAAAAAAACATAATAAATTTTAATTACACGTTCACTCTGATGCACTTGTCTCGAAAGCTTAACCACCTTTCTCTCGAAAGACAGCGTTACATAAAATATTTCACATCTTGATCAATATTAGGCGTATATAAAATGTCAAAAGGTTTCAATGTAGATTCAAATATTTTCTGGATAAGTCACATGAGAACTTCTAAAGGTGTCAAATTGATTTTGAGTCAAGATGACTTTTATTTTAAGAGTAATGGAAAGATCTAGAACGGTTTTGTTTTCGGTGCCTTCGTTCTTGAAATACAGAAGTTTTACTCTGTTTTTCAACAAAAAAAGCTATGATTATCCTCCGATCACATGTGACATTGACTTTTGAGTTTCGACTCCAAACTTTTTACGAACATTATTCTCAACGAAATTAGTTCATTGGGTGAGTTTTAACTTTTCTAGTATTTTCTACCTTTGGTTATTAAATGCACTGAATACCAAATCATTCCAGACTTTTTCGTTACTCATCGGATCAACATCGTCTCGATTGAAAAGCATTTTGACACCTAAAGAATGAAATCTTGAAATCAACAGTTGGAATAACATTTGTGATATATATAATGATCAAAACAATGATTCATTGTTATCTGAGAAAAAAAAGTTTATACAATTGTTAATTTGTTTTTTTTTTAGGAATTAGCACGACAACAACCTTCACCAACATTTCAAGCTAGACCATCAAGAATAGGACCTAATGAACGAATAAATTCAATTAATTCATTCATTACTGAACAATAATTGAATGATCCATTTACTCGATATAATATTATTGAAACATCATTACATTTTAATGTTAAACGATTAGATTTATATATGATAGCTGATTCAGATATTCTCGGTACAAAGACAATTCATTTATATGAATATTTCACCAAAAATAAAATAATTCTATTTTAGTTAATTGTTTAGTTGAAAATGGTGCACTTCTAATGACTATAGCAAATTTATCAATTACTGTTTATCAATATCATGAATCTAAATCATTAAGAAAACATTGAATAAAATATAGTAAAAATTAATCAATGAATCGTACTGAATGGATCAATAGACTACATAAAGAATAGTATGCACAATTCAATACAGCAAAAACTTCTATACCAAATGATGAAACATGTAAGCTTAAACTTTTTCTTAAGAAGCAGAAAAACAAATTATTATAAATTATTTGTTGGCTAAAAAATTCGAAAAAGCTATACGTACAAATCAAATTCGTTTATTTGAATCATGTAGTGTGATAAATATCGATGATCTTGTTTTTTCTTTTTCTTTTTTTTATCTTGTTTCATTAAATAATGATAAAGATTAAAAAACGTATCGATCATTAATTTCATTTGATAAACCTTATTATCATTTACTAGATAATTTAGGTACGATTCATTTTCAACATATCATCTTATTTATTTCTGGTAAAGTTGAACAAAAGATAATTCTAGGAAAGTATTTTATGATTATTTTATTTGTAGTATTCAATAGTGATTTATTTATTCAAATAATGCCTCTTGTTATTCGTCTTGATTTTCTATATTAAATTGGTTTGATACCTTTGTTTCGACATTATCAATAACAATAGGAAATTGGTTGCAAGAAGAAAAATTTATTTTGTTATTTTTAATAGGATAATTCCGGCATATTAAAAACTGATAAATCACCTACAGATCTTGAACATGTAGCAATTCAATTAGAATCTATGTTACCAAGAGTATGTATACTTGAAATAAATGTTTCAAAGAATTTTACTTACAAATACTCGAACAGAAATTAACAAGTAATCGATATAAGCTTGAGAAATATTTAGAATTATTTAAAGAAACAAAATTTTTTCAACAAACTCAATGGTCTTTTTTTCAAATGAGACAACAACACGTTTTAGTTCATTATTTGAACAAAACATCCATATGATACATATTTATATAATAATCCATTAAGTAAAAAGACTAGTAATCTACCAGAACCTTTTGATAATATCTTGACCTCAAAAAATGAATATTAACACAACTGATTCAGAAAGGATCTGGCGTGTTTTTCATTTATTCATCTCGCTCTATTCAAAGCAAAATTGAAAATGCGAGATGAATTTCAATTGGTATGCTATTTTATCTTTGATTGCGTGTCTATCACAAGTATAACTAAAGTACTCTCTTAACATAGAAAATAAGTTCAAAGGATGAGTATTCAGAAGAATATCGAAATTCAATTCTGTTTTTCCCACATATACTCTCGGAGTGCTAAAAGTTTTGCAGGAATTGAGGAAAAAGGAAGAACAAAGCGTACTGTGATATTTCCTTCTCAGATAAATACAATTGGTGTTTCGAAAACTGGTTTCTATCGAGAACTTTGAATCAAGCTGAAACTTTTTCAAATATACTAGTTGCTGATTGACATGCATATTTCTTCGGTGATGTTTGACAACTTTCACAAAATTTGTCTTAGTAGAAAAATCCAACGTCTTTTGAGCTTTGTTCGATATTTTGACTTTTTTTATTCGGCAATTTTGAGTCTAGTCCACATTTGTCTGTACCCTTCATGGTTTTTTTTGATGAGCCGTTTCCGAAAATGTTGGAAAGAAAGTATCCCTAAAAGAGAACTCAGTTTAGTTTGAAAATTAATCGATATAAATAGGAAAATGTTATTTTTTTTTGAAAAATCTATTTTTCGTAGAATAGACAACATTTTGTTTCTTTTTACATAGTCTGCAAAATATCATATTTGGCATTTAAATGTTGAAAATATCTCTTTGAATTTTACGTCATCATCATCATCATCAGATTCAATTTATTTAGCAAAACAAAACATGACTGATACTTTATCCATGATAGGTTGGATTATACTGGATAAAATCGAAAAAGTAATACATTATTAATATCATTCAATTTTCGAGAAAATTTTCTTCTTATCTTTGAATTAGATTCTTGGTTAAATACTCTTTATGTTCTTGAAACTTCATCTATGTTAAAAATTTCTCAAAAACAATATACATTTATTATACATTTAGTCGATGAATTCGGACTCTTTTTTGATGTACTTGAACGAAATGAAAAATCAAATTGATTTAATTAAACAAAATCTTTTATTAAATAATTCAACTAATGAAATAAAAATAACAATCTATTGAACTGTTCTAATAACATTTACACTTATTGTCTTGGATAGTCTTGAAGATGCTATTGTTAAACTTCCTACACCTACTTTGTCAAGTTTATCTGAAGTTGATATTGAATCTAACGTACATGATATATCCGATACAAATGTCATTATTGATATATTATCAACATCAGTACCTATTCTTGTTAGTAAAATGAAAATAGAAAAACTGATTACAAATAAAAATCTTGATTTATCAGAACAAAAACAATCGAAATTTGAAGGAAATATTCAATGTGGATTAGAAATAATTGCAAGATGTTCACGAGATTCATTCATATCATCATCGGTGAATATGAGTGATAATAGTAATAAAACTTCATCACAATAGGATTTCAACGATGAATTAGATGCTAATCTTAATGCACCTGTATTTAATAATGATTTTGAAGAACAACAACAAAAAGTAGCATGTATTGAATTAGATGATGATAGTATTAGTTTAATAGAAAAAAATTATAATGGAATGAGAACATTAGAATCGATATGCTTTTTGATAAAAATGAAAGTCCTGATAGTATTTTTTTTTACATAGATGTTATGATAATAGGAAAACTGATTTTTGAACTTTGACTTAAAATTTTGCATAGAGCCAAGCCTGAACGAGCCTAGGTGTTTTTTTTATTTGCTTCTATCTTGAAATAAGAACATCAAATTATTCTTGTTGAGACTTGTCTCTACGCAAAAATTCTGATCCAGATTACAAAATCATTCCTCTTTAAGCATCTTCAAGAATTTTCATCACTACAAACTGTTGTTAACACAAAATCATCACTGAACATGATTATCGAGTGTATACATATTCTTCGACAAATTGATGGAAAACTGATTGTTCGAAAGACGACAGATAATGGTAAGAATGATATAGATAATTCATGTATTGAAAACATGATAAGTCTTCGTTTCATATAAAAAACCTGGAATCTTTTGGTTTACTATTACAATTCTCCTAAGAAAACTTCTCATTATTGTCGTGACTTTGAATTTTGATGAAACTGATCTATGTAATATTAAAGTAACACATTGTTTTCCTAATAATGTCTTGATAAATCTTATTATGAAAGTTTATTTTGCTTGAGAATTGATGTTGTAAATTTTAAATTCTTAATTTAGATGATAAAAAGAATATAACGACTTCATTTTGAATTAAATACTCATAAAAAAGAAATAAGTATTTTTTGTGGTAACAACAATCAAGGAAATGAAATGATAACATTATGTATTTTTTTTGTTTTCATTATTTTGATAATTTATTCACGACTTATTTACTAATTTTGATTAACGTTTTCGATGACAGTGCTTCAAATAAAGTGTTTAATCTTTTTTCAAAATTATTATTTTTTTCTTGTGAATAAATACTCATGACTCAAGGTGAATATATAATTTATGTGTATTTTAGATTTCATTTTTTTTTTCTAATGGTCAATATGATGAATGACGATCGTCATATTGTTGCTGAAGATTCTAGTATAGACAATATAAAAGCATAAAAGAACTCAATGCTTCCTAAACTGATCTCTGATTGATTTATTCCAAGTCAATTTTTTTTCGGATTTGATTCCATACTCGACCTGCCAGTGATTCGGTCTTTATTTTGCAACTAATTAAGATAAGCGAAATGATTAAGAGAGAAAGAAGAAGTACACAACATTATAGACTTATTTATTCGTGAAACAAGTTCTTACCATAAGGCTAAATTTGATGACCAGCTGTACTTGATCAAACTCTCCTCTCTCATATGCTAAGAATACTATTTCTATGTATGACATTTTTTCACGTCATTCGTCTTGATCGAACTGATTTTTTTTATTGAAATATTCGCTGCTCACTTCTCTACGAACATATTTGTTGTAGAATCCGAAGATACAGCATGCGATGATAAATAACGAGAAACACGAAAATGTAAAAAAAAAAATTATTTTCTTAAATAGAGCTAGATTTTTTCGAATGATTTCACCAGCACTAGAACATGGTCTCAATGTATTTTGAGTAGTTTCAAATACGCTCTACCTCTTCGTGTAGAATGCAAATCATTTAAGTATAAGTATACGATGCAAAGATTAGGTTCATGCCAATCAAGCGAAAAACAAAAAAAAGTTTTTATTTGTTTTTGCATGATTGCGCAAAATAATGTTTTTTTCTTCAACTGTACAGATTCGATCTGAACGATTAAGTATTGGTTTTCAAAATAAAGGAAATAATCAACCTGGATGAATAACATTTGACTAAAATGTTTTTGTTTTTTGTCGGAAAACTTAAATGTTAGATTAAAAAGTCGTTAGTTTTTGAAATTTTGACAAAACGGATATGGATGTGAGTGAAAAAATCGAATAGTTACACCTACATCCATATTCTCGAATAAACTATAGAGATTTGCGGTTTTCATCTGACCTTTTTGAAAACCAACGTACCTTGTAAGGTGACTAGGAACCATTTTTTAAAATAAATTTGATTAAAAACCTTCCAGAAAAATCTTAGTGAAATCTATAATATCTCATTTGATACGAGTTCATCTTCTCTTTCCAATGGTGAAAATTGCAGTGTTGTGTGTTGTTTTCTATCGAAAGTTATTCAAAAAAAAAATACTGACTCGCCTTTATTTTTCCAATGGCCATTAGTTTACTTTATACGATCTACTATTGTTGATTCAAGCATAAAATAGATAGTTGAAATTTTTGAAACTCTCGTAATCATTCTTTCGTTGAAGTTTTATGTCTATAGAAAATCATTTTTATCAACTTTATATTTCATCCAATTTTCTTGTTTGGTATAATATTCTCTTAAAAAATATTTTTCTTGGCATTATCAAGAATTTCTTAAATGATTTTTTTTGTACTATATAACGATTATAACGATATTTCATAGAGTTGTTATTTCTATGTCTTGATGCTGAATACAGAACAAATATTGTAAATAAGTTTAAATATGTATATTATTTTGAGTTGGAAATTAAAATAGTTTCTCAATTATGGATTTCAAGTATCTTCAAACAAGTACTTTTTATCAGTTCGATATGTTCGAATATGGGTGTGGGTGTGGAGTGTGGGTGTGGGTGGGTGTGGGTGGGTGTGGATGTGGGTGTAGGTGGGGGTGGGTGTGGGTGTGGGTGTGGGACCCACACCCGGCGTGACCAATGTTTTTTGGTCACGGTCACGTCACGGTCACGATCAGTTTGGTAACGGTCACGACCGTTGCCATCGTGACCGTGACCGTGAGTCACGGTAGCCACGCCAGTCTCTATACAAACGACTATTTTCTCTTTTCTCAAAATAGCATACCCTTCTTTTCCAATAGGAGGTCCCTATACTAGAAGGCTTTCCATAATAGAGGATCGCCTTGGAGAAATATGTGCGAGATTTAGCATAAGACCTCATTCAATAATCGAATTTTTCGAAAAATGACAACTTCAACCACTGGATTTACACCATAATATGCTTAGTTTTCAGAGTTTTGAGCTGAAAACCTTAACTAAGTGTTTTCAACATTTTATCTAGGCTTTTAAAATCCGAAAAATTCCTTCTCAGAGCATCAAAATCGCCTTGGCTTTCTGAACAATCTTTTTAGATGAAATCTGTAAAAACAAAAGAGACAACACAAGATCCTCTGGAAAAGTTTTGCGATTGGACACAATAGAAAATCTCGAATCTCCTCGCGCGGAGAGGCGAAAGGTAATATAACAGATAAACGAAAAGGATTAGGTATGAACAAAATTGATGAATTTGTTTTTGAGAAAATCTCTTACAGTTCTTGAAAGTTTATTTGGCCAAAGCCTGAATAGAAATGAGTGAAATCAGAACAAGTAGAGAAATGATCAATCGTCGAATAAGTCATCTGATAAAAGTAAAAAAAAAAAGTCAAAAATATATGAAAATGACAATTCTTGTTCAAGGAGGTCATAATATTTTTTAATGGTACATTTTTTTCTAAAGTCTTTCTATGCCAGCTGTTTAAAATATATTAATACTGAGAATATTTTTTTTGGTATCGCGATTGTATTGGTTCTATTCCTTCGTTTTGAGTTAGCATAATTAGAAAAGGATATTGATATATATTGCAAGAATACTAAATATAATATTTAATTCTCTAGTAAAGTTTCAAAATAACTGCTTTATATTTACATTGAAAATTTATCGTGACTGGTCGTGACCAGGTTTTGGTCACGGTCACGGCTTTTTTTCGAAAAATGGTCACGATCGTGACTCACGACCGTGACCGTGACTCACGGCAGTCACGGCGGTCACGCCGATGTCTAGTATGGGTGAGTGTGGTGTGGGTGGGGGTGGGTGTGGGTGGGTGTGGATGTGGGCATGGGAGTGTGTTTCTGTTCGTCAACACTCATACCCACACCCACACCCACCCTAAACTTTTCCAAAAATGAACTATTCGACTGTCATTGATCCTTTATGATCTACAATGAACTACACTTCTAATAGTATGCATAGCAAAACAATAAGGCATGATCAGAAATACTTATTCAAATTTGAAAAGATTAATAAGATATTTTGAATAGAATAGGTGGATAGAAAAATGAAAAATGACGAAGTTAAGGGCAACAATATTCTCGCCTCTACCGTGATTATATTTCCAGAGAAAAATAGTAACAAGGTCATCTCCTACACACAACATATGGAATACAGCAGTCAATAAAATCCATGGTATCTACAAAGTATTAGAATATGAGGGTTCTCATTTTTCCATTTCTTCTGTAGTTTTTGTCCTTTGTCTATATTAAAGATAGAGCCGACCGGATCAGTTCGATCGACACTTTATTCGTGTGAGAGTATCATTTCTATAGTTACTCTGATCAGATTTCCAATTAAGTTACACTAGCAGCACCCACACCCTTCGAAATCTATACTTGAAGTTTTATTTGAACAAATTTTATCATCTACTGAAGAATAAGAAAATCTTTTTTTTTACAGAGTTATTGAACATCATGACTATAGTTGAATAAAATAAGCTGATTTCTTTATTACTAATAAAGAGAAATGTTCCTTGTTGATGTGTTACTATTTTCGACTGTCTTTCACATTCAGATGATGACTAAAGAACAATAGATGAGAGTCAATAATCAAATTGATCGATTCGATTTCGCATTTCGATGTATCTCGGATGTATTCATTTTTATCTTTTGTACACTATGCTGATCTATGATCTAGTCGAGCTATGACAGACGAGCTTTGCGTTTACTAACGAATTTTTTCACTGTTCTATGAGATTGAGTCAGAATGAAAGCGACACAACCGAGGTGCACAGTTACATACAATCTATCGATATGTTTGGCTATTTTCGCCAATGAAAACAATTATTTCTTTAGAAGTAGACGGATTT